ATGCACTGTCATCGCTCTCTTTTCGATTGACAGGAATAAACAAGTTAATTCTAAAAGAGTGTGTAATTCAGTCATGCACCGGCAGTGACTGAAGAAGTGTGTGCTGTCGTTTGGCGAAATTAGAATAATTAAGGAATAATTCTGTTTTGTTTTAAAAGGTGACTATTAAACATTTTCGATATTAAAAACAAAAAAGCATGATGTTTAAGTTACCTCGGTTTATTCGGAAACAAAATATAAAATATTGTGAGAATTTGGAGTTAATTCTGTTTTGTTTTAAAAGTTATTTATAGAGCATAGTGCGAAAGTGTAATAATTCGATTTTGTATAAAAAAATATAGCCTGGTCACTGAAGCAACTAGCTAAGCTTCACTGTCATATAAAATATTTTGATGTTTATGAAAACTATTTTGGTTTGCTTCATTTTATCATTTTAGATTATGGTTATAAATAAAATTTGTTTAGGGTTAATTCATTTTCTTGTTAAATTTCGTAAATGTTAACCTATTTTATTAGTTTTTAAATCTTTTAAGAATGACGTCTTGGAGGGCTAAGAAAATACTAGGCTTGATTCCTCAAGCAGAAAATAAAATCTATAATACCAATAAGGAAAACTATGAAGAGGTAAATACTTACATACTTAATTTATTTATAAATACTTTGGATTCTTGTTTATATATATTGATATAATATTTAAAATTATATACTTACATATTTTTTATTTATATTGCATAAACATAAAATGTACTGAACCAAGTTATATAAATTTACTACAAATATAAGTATGTAATACTTTCAGATTAAAAATAATCTTGAAATAGAAGAAGAAAACCAGGAAAATATGGTCCCACCGTCCATTGCAGTCACAGAAGTAGAAAGCACAGCACCGATAGAAGAATTATTACACACTGAAACACGACCTGTTAGTCTTGTATTTGACTATAGAAGCGATTCGACTGTAAGTGAAAATATGGAAGATAATGAAAAGCCAGAGAATGCCTTAGATAACTTAGCAGTCATGCATTCTAGACGTCCATCCTCACGGTCTTCCAAAGATTCGGTCTCTTTTAGGTCGTCATCATCTAGTTCATCGACATCTAATTCTTCTTCAGCGAGTTCTTCATCTGCAACGAGTTCTTCGTCGTCATCGTTATCGAGCTCGTCATCCAGCAATAATATGCCACAGGATAAAGACACTTGTGTACAAGAACTTGAGCCAAGCAGTGAGGATAATATACCACAAGAGATTAACGCTAATTTACAAGAACTTCGGCCAAGAAGTGAGGAGACTATATTACAGGAAAAAAATACTATTGTACAAGAACCTAAGCCAACTAGTGAGGAGAATATACCATCTTGCTCCAGTTTGATAAAGAATAAAGACAAACAGCAAAGGCAATGCAGAAGTAAGAACAATGTGAATAATTATATTTCTCCTATTTACACTGATCAAAGCGATGTTGATATCAGTGATGATGATCCAACTGTGGATTATAATACAATATTTGATAGGCCAGCCAAACGAAAAAATTATCTATTTGGGGAACCAACTCCTTATTCTTCCGATTCTAGTACTAGTATAGAAGAAAATAGCTATAGAGGCCGAAAGCGGTCTAAAAATATTTATAAATGGCAGCAAATTAAAGCAAAACAGCTCAGAAATAGAGGCGAATCCTATGTTTCAATGTCAAAATCTCGTAAAGTAATTCCAGAACGCATTTTAAAAGATACGTGTACAGAAAAATGTAAGTTAAAATGTTCAGAAAATATATCTTCAGAAAATAGATACAAAATCTTTTCTAGCTTTTGGGATTTAGGTAGCTTAGTTGCACAGAGGGCTTATATCCGAACATGTATGGTAGATGTAACACCAAAGTACAAATATACTAATGCTGAACATCCTAGGCGTCCGAACAAAGCTTTCTATTTCACAATTGATGACAAGAGAATTAAAGTGTGTAAGACTTTCTTTAAAAATACACTGTCAGTTTCTGAACGAATGGTTTACACTGTACAATCTAAAATGAATGAAGGTTTTGCTATGAATGAGTTGCGAGGTAAGCACCAAAACCATAAAAAACTTGATCCAGAATTACTAAATGATATTAGGAATCATATTACTATGATCCCGAAAATATCTTCACATTATGTAAGATCCTCAACCTCAAAAGAGTACATAGGTGGTGATAAAACAATAAAAGATTTATATACCGATTTTGCTTCGCAGCAAATGATCAATAACAAAGACGTCGGTAATTACATGGCATATTATAAAATTTTTACTGGTGAATTTAATTTGGGTTTTCATCAGCCAAAGAAAGATCAATGTGATCTGTGTGTCGCATATACTAATTCGAACGATGAACAGAAAAAAGATTTGGAAAATCAATATCAGAAGCATTTAGAAGAAAAAACTTTAAGTCGTTTGGAAAAACAAGTTGACCGCCAAAACATAACAAAAGATAACAAAGTTGCAGTTTACGATTTAGAAGCGGTATTACAATGTCCACGAGGCGATACATCAGCGTTTTATTACAAGTCCAAGCTAAATAGTTATAATTTGACTGTTACTGAATTGACATGTGGCGGAAAGAAAGCTTACGAAAATGTACATTGTTACTTTTGGACTGAAGTAGATGCTAAGCGAGGAGCAATTGAAATAGGCTCTTCTGTATGGGAATATTTAAAAAATGTGTCTGCCGAAGATGTAGACTTTAAAGAAATTACATTTTACTCGGATAACTGTTGTGGGCAGAATAAAAATAAATTTATAGCTACATTATATATGTACGCTGTAACTAATTTAAATAATATAACCAGCATAACACATAAGTTTTTAATAAGAGGGCACACCCAAAACGAGGCGGATAGCGTACATAGCTTAATTGAAAGAGAAGTCAAGAAAAACTTAAAATCAGGTCCAATTTACAGTCCACATCAATATGTTACATTAATTAAAAATGCAAAAAAGAGCAATCCACCGATAACCGTACATGAATTGACGTTTGATTCATTTGTGGACATAAAAGCTCTGCAAGAAGAATGGGGGTATAATTATAATGTTGACGAAGATGGAAATACTGTAAATTGGAATGATATTAAGCTTTTAAAAATGATAAAATCGGAACCGTTATGCTTTTATTATAAAACGTCATACAAGGATAGTACTTTTAAGAGAGTTGATGTTAGGAATAAAAGGAAGAAAATGCTAAACATAGCGGAAATTTCTTTAAGTAAAGCTTATACAGAAAAACAGGAACTAAGTGCTAATAAAAAAAAAGATTTAAGAGAATTGATAACGAAGAAGTTGATTCCTTCCTTTTATGCCATTTTTTACAATTCCATAATTTAATGTTTTGATCATTATAGTACCGAAGTAAAGAGTAATAATGATTTTAGTTTGGTATGCTTATTACCTTTACTAATTATACTATACTTTAAAAACTAATTAACATTTAGGATAAAGTGTAAGTTTGCTTTATGTTGTCATTGTAAGATTTAGTTTGTTTCTATAAGAGATAATTACAAAGACTGATTTATCGTTCCTAATAATTAAAAAGTTTTGATGCTTTTGGAAGACTATTTTTGATAAGAAGTTAGTTTATTTTTATAGTAATGCCTAATAATGATTGTTATTTAGTTTATTATAAATTAACATAATTAAAACTGTTTGGTTATTGAACAAATTTTGTTTTATTAAAAAAAAAAAACAAATGCAATCTATTTTTTTTCTTTAAAAATGACGCATTTAGTACAAGTTTTTCACATTTTCTTTTTGAATAATTTTAAAAGGATTTAATGTAAAATCTTCTCGAAATCACTACTTACTAATTTAAAATTAAAACGAAGTATTATAACTTGATTCTTAATATTTTTACTAATTGTCAGTTTCTTTTTCACATAAAAAGAATTAACTCAAAGATTAATTTTTGGCGTCAAAATTATTAAACGTGGTTAAATTTAAACACTATTTTGTTAATAATATTAAAATCGCTAGTATTTATATTAATAGTATTGGTAGTTCAAATAGACAATAGCAAATTACATTCTTTTTTATTTAGTATCAAAGGCGGTAAGGTAAAAGTGTAAAACTTTAAACGCCATTTCCCACAACTTGCTAATTTTGAGTTACATCTTTTTATTTCTAAGCGAGCGATATATTAATTAATACATACTAAATACATAAAATGTATGATACTCGTTCATTAAATATCAGACAGCATCACCCATACACATTGCTTAGATCTTACAATAGGCTTATAATAGGCTATCGTTACATGCACCACTGACCGGTTAGAACTATTAGACCAAACTAGTTCACTTGACAAAATGTACTAGTACGGTGAGCTCTTTTAGATGACAGAGCAGGCATAAGACTAGTAGCAACTGATTAATGCGAACTGGGGTGGGAGGTTGGTGCTCCGAGCTGGGTGTTTGTTGCTCGGTAACCTCGGTCCAACCATTGTAAGTTGTATATACGATTATGTTAAGTCGCGGCAAATCTTAGTAAGCGCGATTCAGGTATCGCGGCGCCATCTGAATCGACTGTATGATGTCAGTGGAAGCTTCAGTCTTGTCGTCGATTATTGTGGTGATGTTAACGCGGTTAAATAGATGTCGCCACATGTATATTTTAATTTAGTCAAATTATGACATTATTTCGAATAATTTGATATTGAATGTACGAGGAATGATATTGTTATATATTTTAAGTTTGTCTGACATTAGGAAATTTTAATTAGATTATTATAGGTTTTATAATATCGTATTTGTACGCTGATCAAGTCGGCAGAATGTGTGTGCTTTCTTTGATAAATAACATCATATCTGTGACCACTTTCTTGCAAATAAACATAATTTCATTTCATTTAATATACCTAATTCACAAAATTACAAAAACAAAAAAACATTTATTAAATATGATAAAATCAACAACTTCGGTCTGAGTGTAGCCTTGTCGTTTTGGTTTAATAAAAAACAATGTTTTGATGTTGAAATAGGTGTTGAAACGTGAAGATGACAAGTAGCTCCTGGGAGGAGTTCTTTGCAGTCCACCTACCTCCCATTGACTTCGAGGACAACCGCTCCTTGCTGAAGGAGTTCTGTGAGCGTCATGACCAATACGGGAATAAGATTGTTCTTGTCACAGTAAGTTTAAGTAAATTGTAATTTTCCCTGGTTAATCAAGCTTAGAAACTCTTAACAAAAAGACAAGCATTTCTCATTTACAAACATATCGAAATTGCGGATCCTATTACTATATGAAATGAAATGAAAATATCTTTATTCAAGTAGGCTATTACAAGCACTTTTGAATCGTCCAAAAAACTTTTTTCCCCTACCACTTGTTCAGGACGTCTTTTAGCTGACAAGAAGAACAAGCGAAAGAAACTTACCAGCTTTTTATCATAAGTAATGACATTTACATAAATCATGTCATTACCAAAATAATATGTATTATCATATCATGACTTATATTATCATGACTTCTAAATCCAAAAGAAGGTTATGTATTCGAGGGCGGTCTATGTTATTTTTATGTATATTCACCGATAATTCCGCCTATTGTTGACCGGTTTTCAAAATTCGAAATTTTATTCGATAGCTTGACATGAACTAAGAACCAATTTCTATCAAACTAGTTGTACCCCCGCAGCTTTGTCTGCGTAAATTATAACCTATGTCCAACACATATTTTGTAGCTTCCCGTAGATGAAGGCCTTCTGTCGCTTCTATCCAACGCAATATTTTTAATTTACCCGTAATATAAAAAATATCAATACCACTAAAAGTATGAAATAAAAGCTTGAAAAAAAGTTCTACCGACTTAAACTTTTAAAAAGTGATAAATAATACTTGTCTCAAAAGTGACTGATTCAAAATAATGCTGTTGAAGTGGTGTGCCTATCATTTAAATAATAAACGTGCAGAAGACCTTTCTTTTTTTATATTTCTTGTATTTTAAAACTGACTTGAAATAATAATTTTTGCCTCCGAACCATAGCGAGACATTAACTTTCTAAGCGATATATGCTTGTTGTTAACTGCAATTTTTCGAAGCATTTTTATAATGTTTCTTAATCATACTAGTCATCGTTCATTCCAAAAGAGATTGCGATTGATTTCGCTATATTCATGTCGCTCATCCAACTGTATAATGACGCAATTATATTTTTTCTAGAGAGATTTTAAAAGATTAATCTTTAAATTCATTATTAACGCGATCAAATAAAGCCTATTATTGTTAAAAATCGTAGTCGGGTGGCACAACAGTACCCTTGGAGCACAACACGGTCAGGTTCGTGGACAACTTCAGTGCGGGCACGAGGGGCTCCGCGTCAGCCGAATATTTCCTAGAACAGGGATACGCGGTCATATTCATGCACCGCCAGAAGTCCTTGGAGCCGTTCACCAGACACTTCAGCGGACAGAAACTCCTCGACATGTTGGATATACAGGAGAGGGGACCGAATACCACTATCACAGGTTGGAATAAATATTTAATTAATTTATAGATATTACATTTTGCTCTTTACAAAAAAATTATTAGCTTGCTAATCTAGCCAAGTCAAATCTTAAGTTTCTATTCTTGATTCAAGTTAAAGAAACAATTTTCTTGCAGCAGAAAAAGCAAGAAATTTCATTTTTTTTTTTAGAAAGATATTGATTTTATAAATGTTCAAAATTTATTAGAAAATTCTCACCCATTTAGATTTCTTTTTTTACATTTATGTTTATTATGGGAAAAATATTAAAAAACATTTTTAAATTACAAAATAATTAAATAATAAGACCGGTATTATCATACTGATATATTGTACCATTTTTAATCCACATAATTCACAATCTATAATCTCGTGTGTCCTTTTCTTATATGTTTACGTCATTTAAACTTATATTTACTTTATTTCTAATATTGGGTGATTTTAATGTCTCTAATGCACATTGGTCTTATAATATATGCACAAATTCCATGCATATACAAGCTAACAATGACAATTTAGCTTGTCTTACCGCTGATTTCATGGCTTTGTCTTTTTTATCACAATATAATAATCAATTTAATAAAAATAATAAACTTTTAGACTTAATATTTTGTAACGAATATTGTCAAGTTTCCCTATGCAATGAGCCATTGGTATCGGATGATCCTCATCACCCTGCAATACAAATATATTTGAAATTATCAACTCCTGTACCACTCAAACCTGCCAGTTGTACAAAGAAGCAGTTTTTTAAGGCTGACTTTGACTCGATTAGGACAGCTTTAAATGCCATAGACTGGGAAAATGAATTGCTCTCTATGGGCGATGTAGATTCGATGACAAACTATTTCTATAATATTATTGATAATTTAATAGACAAATATGTGCCAAGCTGTAATATAAAAACAAAAGAAAAATATCCACCATGGTATACGAAACCGTTAATTAAACTATCAAATGAAAAATGTAAGTCTCATAGAAAGTGGAAGCGTTATGGTAATATGTGCGACTATCAAACATTTTCAATACTTAGAAACCGATTTAAAAAAATGTCAGCAGATTGTTACAAGCAATTTATAAAACATTCTGAAGATAACATCAAAAGGAATCCGAAGTGGTTTTGGTCATTTGTTAAATCAAAAAAAAATAAACATGATATTCCAGCTCAGGTGTTTCATAAAAATAAAACTTTTTCTTGTGGCAATGAGATTTGTGAGCAATTTAATAGATACTTCCATTCCGTTTTCATTTCGTCATCGAGCCTCTCATCAGAAACCACTATCCGCAAAGATAGTATCTCAATTGTTGATATGAATTCTGTAAATGTAAACTTCGACATAGTTTTGAAAGAGCTTAAATGTACTAACATCAACAAAGGGGCTGGTTTTGATGGTATTCATCCAATTCTCATTTCCAATTGTGCTAAAGAGCTAGCGAAACCTGTTACCATATTGTTTTATGCTTCTTTGGAGAAAGGAGTTTTTCCTGCGAAATGGAAATATTCTTTGATAACTCCTATTCCAAAAAATAGTAGTAGAGATATTTTAACAGAGTATAGGCCAATATCCAAGCTGTGTGTTTTGGGTAAAATTTTAGAAAAAATAGTAACGTCCCAGATCGCTGTTGCGGTTCGTAATTATATATCTCCTCAACAACACGGGTTTTTTAAACTTAGAAGTGTTGAAACCAATCTGGCGACATTTACTGACTATTTACTACAAGCAATGGATGATAATTCACAGGTTGATGTCGTGTATACCGACTTTTCTAAGGCTTTCGATAAAATTAATCATTGTCTGCTCATTGACAAGCTAGCAAGAGCCGGTATACACGGCAATCTACTTAGATGGGTTGAGTCTTACATAAAAAATAGGTTTCAGGCAGTTTGTGTCAAAGGGTATACTTCACAATTTCTTCCGGTACCATCCGGCGTACTTAAGGTTCGCATTTAGGCCCATTGCTTTTTTCTTTATATATTAACGATATAGGACATGCAATAAATAGTCAACACTTACTTTATGCTGATGACGCAAAATTATTTAGAGTTATAAAGTCCCATGACGATTGTAAAATGCTTCAAGAAGACTTGGATTCGTTGAAGGAATATTGTTCATCAAATCAACTATTCTTGAATATAAAGAAGTGTTTCATAATGACATATACACGTAAAAAGCATCAGTTTGCCTTTCAATACACATTGGAAGGTACCGTAATCAAACGTGTGACTAAAATTAGAGACCTAGGAGTAATTATGGACTCCAACTTATCCTTTAATTTACATATAGACCACATATTGAATTCTGCTTTTCGAAGTCTAGGATTCATACTAAGACTAAGTAAACCATTCTGCAAAACTATTACTCTAAAAATTTTGTATTTCTCTTTCGTTCGATCTCTTTTAGACTTTTGTAGCATCATCTGGAATCCATATTACCAAAAACATATCAACAGACTTGAAAGAATTCAAAAAAAGTTCATTAAAACTCTGAATTTCCGCAATAACATACAAAATGAATCATATAACGATGCCTTGACCAGATACAAACTACTAAGCCTTTCTAATAGGCGCAAAATGTTTGATATTATTTTCCTTTTCAAAATTCTCAACTCACAAATTGATTCATCTTTTCTTCTTAGTAAAGTCTCCTTTTTGGCACGCATTCGTCTTCCAGTGCGCTCCTCACGTAAATTATCATTCTTTGTTCCTCCAAAATTGCATAAAAATTATACACGAAACTCTTACTTTTATCGTTCCACCAACATTTATAATAAAGAATTCTCCGAGCTTGATCTCTTTAATTTGTCAATTTCTGTATTGAAGACAAAGTTAAAAGATATGCTATGTAATTAGATAGTTTTCTTAAGAGCAATGTAAGTATATAATTGTACAAAGTCATTCTTTTGCCGAATGTTTTTGTTTAATATGTATGCGTGTCTTATCATGTAAATTCTCTTATTTATTTGATTCAAAAAATGTAACTTTTAGGTACTATTGGTCTGTAATTTAAAGCATATTTAATCATACACACTTTGTTATGTAAATGACTGTTTGATACCAAAATAAATGAAAAAAAAAAAAAAAAATTAAATATCTTATTATTAATGGTTTTGTACTCAGTGAAACCGGACAGCGTGGACGTGTTAGCGCCGATCCTGTTACGGTACAAAGCTGCGCATGCGGCGGGCGCCATCTTGCACGTGTCCTTCACCACAGTGTCGGAGTACTTCTGGCTGCTGCGGGCGGCTTGCGAGTGTCTCGCCAACTTGGGGCCGCGCGCGGTTTTATACCTCGCTGCTGCAGTTTCAGACTTCTACATACCAAAGGACAGAGTGGTAAGTCTGATACAATACTAAATTTATGAACGTACGGTGTTACAACTAATCGGGCAGGCCCGGATCTAGGGGGGCAACGGGGGGCACTTGCCAAAATTATCATTATATGTATAATACTTCTTCACCTCACCCATCCGGTTAACTGGTAGAAAATGCTGAAGGCATTAAGTCCACCAATGTATTCTGTGCATAAAGTGTTAAAATAAATAAATAATTATAAATGAGTAATATTTCAGCCAACTCACAAAATGCAGTCTGGTAGCGGCGCGCCCGTGATCCAGTTGCACCTGGTGCCTAAAATGCTGGCGCCTTTAGTAAACCTTTGGGTGCCCGAAGCGTACGTGGTCTCCTTCAAGCTGGAGACAGATGAAAATTTACTGATACCCAAAGCGAGAGCTGCTTTAGACAAATACAAACATAAGGTAAACATAGTCCTGTAGTAAGCTAATCTTTGAAACTGTATCTATAAAACCTTTTTAATTCCACCATGCCAAGTGAAATAGTTTTTTAATCGACTACAAAAAAGGAGGTTATCAATTCAAAGTGTATTTATGTAATTTCGTCGGATTGGCGTAATATTCATATATGTTGGTCTGTATGGGTTTCTAAACGATGATGTATGTTTGTTTGTATATCTCGCAAACTTGACGTTGGATTGCAATGATTCTTTTATATTTAATTGCTTTGCGTTTAACTTAGGGAACACCAATGCTCGTTTTCACTAAACTTAGGAGTCGCCCAAATTTGACACCCAATAATTTAAAGATGAAAATGCGTTTCACCTTAGACAAGGAGTCACCTAACGACTTAAAGCAATGCTTAAAGTCAGGACTTGCATTGTGTGGCGCCTAGCGCTTGAGCATTTGCGTAAAGTTGTGGCGGGTTTGATGCTTGATTTAATTAATAGTAAACAAAAAAAAAAACTGTAACAAACAAAAAAAGAATATAAAAACAGTTCATATGATAACCAAAATAATAATATTAAAACAGTTAAACAGAACAATTACATGCCCTTCTTCTTCGGGTTTGATGAGTTATTTAACTTTATTATATGTGATTTGATGTAGTATATATACATTTTTCTTCTTTCGTGAGCATAACGGAAACAGGTAATAATAATAAGATTTTAACACTACAACAAATTGCTATTGATCGAAATTAGTATGTATAACAATGACATTAAAATAAAAAAGGATAGGTCATGTCAGTACTAAAACGATGTCAAAAATTATGCCCAGCATATACTCACCAATTATTCATAGACTATAATTGAACATGTCACAGGCCAGATATATAATTATTTAATGCATGTTAAATGCCTACTTTTACCTGAACGAGTTAAAGACTTCGATCAACAGTCCCACTTAAAAATGTTGATGTTTCACATTATTAATTCTCCTTGTCGTTAGTGTATATATTATTTGTTAGTGTATAAATAATGAAGCTTTTCAAGCGATAAAATAAGCTTAACACTGATATATAATATGTATAATGACACGAGGGCTTAGATCGAAATCGGAATCGGAGTATTTTTTAGCTCCGGGGTTAGGTTTCGATGCTCCGAATCCAAACCCCGGAATTTCTAAGTTTCAGTTTCATATAGATTTTGAAATAAATCTAAGGTAGAAAAGCACTAAAGTCGAATTATCCGTTCTGTTACTTACATAATCTTCGACAGATATTTTTCACAATTTGTAACTGGAGTATTTACTCTTTCTTTTTATGACACATTATTAAATTTTCTGATTAAAGCGCTCTGTTTTTTTTATGACACATTATTACTTTTTCTCATTAAAGCACTCTGATTTACGCCAGACTGCGCTTAGGTATACTAATTAGCATAGTTTTAAGGTGACTCTTTTTGAATTCAAGTAACCTATCTACACTTTTTTATTGTAAGTAATATCATTGATGTATAATGTTTATAATTCGATGAATTTTTACGAACTTGACATTCATAAAGATCTATCTATTTTATTGGATTACTCAAAATTTTAAATAACGAAATAAAAATAAAAGTTGAAGATCAAAGACAAAAAGTTTGCATGCGGAAACCTAGGACGAAATAAACGGTGGTACGGCACACCGTTACGATAGCGAGGGCCGCAGTCAAAAAAAATCTGAAGGATTTCTAGTTAAGTTAATATACCTTGTTCTAGATTAGTGAAAACGGGCATACCAGTAGTAGTTTTGAAGATACATAGTACTAAAATTAAAGGACTTATAAAAATGAATAAAAATTGACGATTCTTTTGTGTCCTTTGACATCAAATGTAATTGTTGGTACATCCACTTTTTTCGATTTTATTTAAATAATAATTTTGTGGTATTATTTTTCTCTTCCTCAGTTGTTTCTCTTTATTACGTAAATTTTTTTTTAACACCTTTGCTCGTAAAGCTGATGTAATTCCACCGGTTTTAAATATGTAAAGCGGGTCATAAAAAACGCGTGTGTTACCAAAGCAAATAGTTAAGTTATAGTCCATACAAATTCCATAACAGTATTATTTGCCATTTCGCGCGCTGTTGCTATTCAAATTTCGAACTAATCGCCGCGCGGCGCCAGTCAGTAGGCAGCGCTAGCGCGCTGTTAAAATGGCGGGAAAGCAACAGTGTACATTCACAGATTGAGTTTATTTAAAATAAAATAAAAAACAGTTTATTCGGTAATTTAAAAACTTGGCTGCATGCTCTAACGTCTTTGCCAACATTTTCACGCAGCTACGGCAGAAAATAATTCTCGCGCCATTTTTCTCAAATTTTCTTTCTTTGTACTTGTATTGTGCATATCTAAAAATGACAACTTTCTATAATAAAGAAGAGCAATATATTACTTCAACTCCACCGGATATACTAACAGAAGCGCGAACTGCATGCGACAGCTTGCTGCCGTCAATATCCAAAGACAGATACATAACCACGTTTGAAAATTTCTTGAAGTGGAAAAATATGAAAAATGCCAAGTCATTTTCCGAAAATGTTGTTTTGGCGTATATGAATTAGCTAGTATATATAAGCCTAGCTCGTTGTGGACAACATATTCTATGCTGAAAAGTACCCTCAAGATGAAAAATGGTGACGATATTAATTTATATTCAAATCTCATCGCATATTTAAAAAGACGCACTGATGGTTTTATAAAGAAAAAAATCTAAGGCACTGTCATCAAATGACGTCGAAAAATTTCTAAGAGATGCTCCAGATAGCCAGTACCTGGCTACAAAGGTCAGTTTGCCTCCTTATTTTATGTATTGATCTACCTACTGTACATATTTTTTAACGACCGTCTGTAAGCTAAGTACCTATACCTTATCTAACACATTTTTATTTCTTTTCAGGTTGCGTTAATATTTGGTATTAATGGTGCATGTAGACGGCAAGAGCTTCACAATGTTACTACAAATGACATTGAAAATCAAGGCAAAATGCTTTTAGTTAAAATCCCAAACACTAAAAACAAAATACCCCGATCTTTTATTATCGACGGCCCATTTTATGATGTGGTCAAAAAATATGAAGCTCTGCGTACGACTAAGGCAAAAAATAATCATTTCTTTCAGAATTACCAAAAAGGTAAATGTACTGCGCAACCTATTGGCATAAATAAATTCGGTGCCATGCCAAAGGAAGTCGCTAAGTTTTTAGGATTGCCGGATGCTGATTGTTATACAGGGCACAGTTTCAGAAGAACATCAGCTACATTGCTGATTCGGGAGTAGCTGATATATTGACTTTAAAGCGGCATAGCGGGTGGCGTTCTAACGCAGTAGCAGAATCTTATGTACAAGATTCCATCCAAAACAAAGCAAATATAAGTGCCAAAATAACTCTGGCAATAAATTTGGAGCCACAAGCGAAGAAGGTTGGCCTGAGCCGCGCCCATCTACTTCTACTGATACTTCTAATACTTCTAATTTTTTTTATTTACAGCTAATGACGAATTACAATGCTCTTCTGCCACCTTTCAAGAAGTTTCGTCAACTCCAACATTTACCCTAACACAAAACAATGACATTATGAATAGTAATAATAATAATAACATAATTAAAAAACCAACTACAACTACGTATCATTTTAATAATTGTAGTTTCACTAACTGTTTTAATAATTAAAAATGAACAAAATATAAAATGTCTTTTTTTCTGTTTCCTCGCAAATGTGTTAAAAAACGTCGTACGACATACGTGCGTATTGGTTATAACATGCTCGGCTCAATTACGCCGCGCCCCTCTACTTCTACTGATAATATTTTTTTATTTACAGCTAATGACGAATTACAATGCTCTTCTGCCGCATTTCAAGAAGTTTCGTCATCTCCAACATTTAACCTGACACAAAACAATGACATTATGAATAGTAATAATAATAATAATCACAATTAAAAAACCAACTACAACTACGTATCATTTTAATAATTGTAGTTTCACTAACTGTTTTAATAATTAAAAATGGACAAAATATAAAATGTTTTTTTCTGTTTCCTCGCAAATGTGTTAAAAAACGTCGTACGACATACGTGCGTATTGGTTATAACATGCTCGGCTCAATTACGCCGCGCCCCTCTACTTCTACTGATAATATTTTTTTATTTACAGCTAATGACGAATTACAATGCTCTTCTGCCGCATTTCAAGAAGTTTCGTCATCTCCAACATTTAACCTGACACAAAACAATGACATTATGAATAGTTATAATAATAATAACACAATTAAAAAACCAACTACAACTACGTATCATTTTAATAATTGTAGTTTCACTAACTGTTTTAATAATTAAAAATGAACAAAATATTAAATGATTATTTTTCTGTTTCCTCGCAAATGTGTTAAAAAACGTCGTACGATATACGTGCGTATTGGTTATAACATGCTCGGCTCAATTACGCTGAAATTCCGCCTCGCATGTTATAACCATCATAACGCACTAATATCGTAATGTACTATAGTTAGTTTCTTTTTAATGTTTTTTTTTTCTTGATTGTTAAATCAATACAGGTTCGATAGATGCAATATCTGATGGAAAGTTTTTGAATATTTCTATTATATATATTCCTATATCTATTTATATTGAAATCAGCAACTAAAGTTTCACACTTGAGTTAAGTTGTTTACATATTTTTGTTTTAGATGGTTGTAGCGAACTTGTTGCAGACGCGTCACCATAGAGTGATCCTAGTAACACCAGAAGCAAGTCAAGAGATTGTCCTCACCAGGGAAGAAGTGCATGCAGGTAAGGAATTACAGTGAACACTGTCAATACAGTCAATACATTAATATAATTTTTTCTCGATAGATTTTAAGCCTTAATACGTTGGAATTAGACTTAAATTTTATCTATGTAATGTTTTGTCATACGCAGTTTAGTTAAACTTGGAAAATTAGTACTAAAACGGACTACTATGAGCTGCGTATTGAGTGAAACAAATAATGGCACATAAAATATTTACTTTACGATCCATAATATGTTTATGGACGCTACCGTATTTACGACTTAGATACGCCGAAATTCGTAAATATGAATGAGTTCTGGATATCTAATTGTGATATAGGTACTGAAAATATCGTTTTGAAAATATGAAGAGAACTATGTTAAGCATAGCTATCTCTTTCTTGTATTTTTTTTGCTATTAACTTGATTATTACCCAAAATAATCTAGAGGCCACATTCCTTCCACGATTGATCGCGTATTAAGGGTTTTGAATGTCCAAGAAGTCTTTATGACATTAAATTATCTTCGACTATTCAGCAAAGAATTTGCGAATATACAGGGTTATTTGTAATTGCATGTGACAACTTCTATAACGAAGTTGCTCTTGTTTCAGTATCAAGGTATCGTTATATCTGAGGTTTGATTCCCTATGGGTCAATTTAATAAATTAACTATTCTATATTATCTCGGGTTTGGGTGTTTCGGTGTCTACGTTTCTTCAGATACTCCATAATACAGCGGCTTTAGCTACTCGTCTTGAAATTTGAGCAGTGTATGTGTTGATGTCTAATAAAACGATACTAACTCTTCATCCAACAATATTAAGATACTTTTATTTAGTTTTCTATTAACAAATAGAAATGACACGACGGTACAATAAAATCTTTATAAATGTTTTTGTTTAAAGTATCGACTGATGTTTAAACATTTAGTATAAAAGTTGTCGCGTATTATGCCAGTTATATAGTCCAGCGAGCTTTTCATTTGCAGTACAAATAACCCTGTATAACGGTAGATAGTAATGTATTGTATATACAGATCTACACTTATATTATAAAGAAGAAATACTTGAATATTTGCTTGTTTGCAACGAATACGCTCCGAAACTACTGGACTGATTTAAAAATTCTTTCATCTAGGGGAAGCAGCATCATATGCGGTGAACATAGGCTATATTTTACCCCGAAAAACAGTAAATAAAGGGATGATGAGAGTGAAAATTTGTTCATGAAATTAAACCGTTACTATAGTAACCTTTGTTTATTATTTAGTTTTTCATTGTAATTATATCTGTGTTATAATATGAATCGATATCCAAATAAACAGTTCCCTAGGGACCACGCGGATGATGCCGCTAGTGGAAAGTAATTATTCAGTGGCTAAAGTAATTACGAATATAGAAGTTCATTGAAACCTCTGTAACTGTACCGGTCGTTTCAGGTGTGGATATAGAGAGTGCGATAGTTGGTGAGATAGTGAGGTTGCACGCGATGTATGCGGAAATGTCCCCCGCGCCCGCGCCCCGCTGACGCCCGCGTGCGCGCCGCCGGCTCTACCTCACGCCGGACTAGTGAACCCCCCCCCCACACGCCCTTATTCAACTAAAACCATTTACAAAAATCGATTAGTACAACAAAAAGATATTTTAACTAATCGCCATTACAGAACAACGGTTTCGTTCATGAAAATTATCGATAGATGACGCTAGTGTTTTATTTGAGGATTTTTTTAAACGTAAATGTTTTTGTAATTATATATTACGCCTGTACATAGGTTTGAAGGTCATGTCACTGAATTATTTTAATATACAACCGTTATCAGTTGCAATGTCAATGGCAGCTGGCTTCCGAGGAGAAAGGTTGTGAATATAGACATTTCTATTCATAAAAACATATTGGAATACCGTGGCGCCATCTATTTACAGTCAAAAAGAATGAAACCGTTGCGTCAAAAAATAACATAGTGTGTAATTGTGTCTATTGTACACTCACATATAAAGTTGCAAAAAAGAGCGTACCTTCGAAATATTCTTTGAATATCCTCCGACTAAAAACCAGGATAAAGACCTAAAAATGGCGACAGTTCCGGTTTATTTTGATCGAGAACCTGAACAATAATAAATCCCAACTTTAACATTTGATATTTCATAAATGTGGATAAATCATGTACTCGGACTATGTGTGAGCATTCTCATAATATGCTTAAAAATATTATAATGTGCATTAAGACAATATAAGTGAGTATATCGCAGATTTTGGTGGAAACAATTTTTTATATACCTAGTATACTTTACTATGGAAAATGTGTAATCTCTAATAGCTACTTGTACGTGTTACTTCTAACGCATATTTATTAGAAGTAAATAAGTACGAGTAATTGATATGAAGTATTTTATAAATCTCCATGTGCCCCAATGATGTGTTATCTGTTAGTAGTTTTTTATATCTGTTTATTGGGTAATGATATACGTCGGAAATCTTATATTTTGTATATCAATAATTACTTGTGATAGCCATAGAATTGACTTTTGTCAAACGACGACAAACGTGGTCGGAATTAGGTAGAGTTATTCGTGTACTTACACTGATTTCATAGAGCGAAAGAATAAAGTGGATATGCCTCAAATCCCGAGATTAATTTTAAAGAGCAGAAAAAATCCCGTGATTTTTTAAATAAAAAGTTATTTACTTTTACACAATTTAAACTACTGCACGCACGACGTTGCCAAACTTACATCAATGAAAGAAAGAATTAAAGAAAGAAGAAATAAAGAAATCTCGGGAAGGTCCTCATTAATATCAACATTTCGATGCAAGTTCATAAATAACTCTACCTAATTCCGACCTCTGTTTATAACACAACGATGTGGACAAGATGAGTTCATTAGTTCAGCCTAGAGATGATACTTACACATCGAACGATTATCGATTGTAACACTAACAGTAATCGATTTCATAGTAATAGATTAATTGCTTTATACCAATGTATTAAATACACTGTTAAATAAATATGTATATTAATTGTAATATACAGTATATGTCTTTCACTTCACTTTGTCCATGACACTCTGAGATAGGACTCAAACCCATGACCTTCCGCAATCCGAGCGACCGCTCTAAGGATGGCTATCTTTATTAAAAAGTCAAAAATATTGTATTAGAGCGGGTAATGCTATCCGACGTTATCATTACCCGATTCTATAAACCCTAGAGGTGCTAAAGAGGTATTTGTAACCTCAGTGTATGTGAGAATAGATTATAGAGGAAGTTGAGAATTGATGATGCCCCATCGACTAATAACAATACTCTACCATATTAACATTTATTATTATATTTTTTATAACTTTAATAAACATTTAATATGATTTACATAGTATTTATTGATCGATGAGACATATCCCAATATTCACTTTAGAGTGAGCATAGAAGAATTCAGTGGCAGCAAAATGGTTGGTTACAAAAAATCAACCTTATTCATTTAACATAAGATTCATACTCGTTATTTTCAATTGCTGCTTTGAGTTGGTCAATCCATTATGACTATTTGAATTGTATGCTAATAAAAATAAGGTTGATTTATTATTTGAACAATCTATACTGATCGTTAGAGGTACTTTACACTTGTTCTATTCAGGTCTGCATTCATGTTGTCTTTTTTTTTAAACTTTATCTATTTTAATGGTTACCAAACCCTTGAAGGGCTTGGATGAAGTCTACGGTGGGCTTAAACAAAAAAAAAAAAAAACTTTTTATCTTTTTATGAGTTTCAATGTTAGGTGATTATTTTACTATCATTAAGTGTATTTTGTTTCTTTTCATGTCATTTTGATTAAAAGTTTTTATAAGAGACATGTTTGGACATCTACGAACAGCCAAATGTAGACGATACAATAGTATCCGTGATGAATACTACCCTTCGGCATTTAGAAAGATATTATTGATTAATTTTGGCTTCATATCGCTTCCACTGTTTTTTTTTTCATGCACTAACCCGCTGTTAATTTGTTGGATTGGTGTTGTTTCTTTTAACCTAGGGTCGCTTGCCAACGATGCTACCTCAGTAAGAAGGCTGCCTTTTGTGGTTATCTATTCAGTTTAATGTACCTTGTGAATGTTTTTAATAGTTCGATAAAGAATATTCATTAATTTCACACTAGAAATCAACAATCCGAGTATGTATTATGAACTGCGCGACAAATATAACTCTATACTAAGCGAAAATTGATCGATTGTCTCTTTCCAAATGTCGATTTGTATGATTTATGGGTCGTATATATTCATTTGTTATATGCCGACTCATTTCAGATGGTTTTGGTATATATATTATATATGCCTGGTTATCTACACGAAACTGTCAACTCTTCTCCAATATATTCTGAAATATGTTTGAGAATGCAGATTAATATAATCTGGAATTTTATATTTTGTGATACACAAAAGTAATCAGTGGTCATTAAACAGTTATGTATAATTTTAAAATCTATTACAATCCCTTTCAAACGTATAGCGCATTTGATAGTGGTTTTTGGAATTGTGTAACTTTTAAAGTCGCAGTCGATTTTGGAAATGATGATTTTCAATTATATAAATATCATAGATAAATCATTTCATTTGATATTTCCTAATCAATGATATTTATGACTGTCACTTTATCTTTCATCAATTTCTTAAAAAAACAAGTCGTAATTGCTATCACATGTCAAATAGTTGCAGCGTGAAGTTCGTCAATATCTTTCAAATGTCAAATTCAAGGTAATATTGATTTTAAACATAAGGCAATTAGGCCACAGGTTTTAACATTTCCAAAGTAGAGTTTTGAACTTAACGACTGGTGAATTAAGTCATAAAATTTAATAGTTTAGTTGCATCGTGACGTGGTGGTGTCTGAACATGAATACATAAACGCTTTTTGATAGATGTGTGTAATTTTTTTTTTCTCTTTATTTTGGCACAAACAGTCATTAAACAACATTTCAATGTTGAAGATATTACAATATATTGTAGGCAACGAGTACCCTTAATTACTTAATACAGAAAGAATAACAAGAGTGTATGTATATACAAGTGAACAAGTACCCTTATAGAATGTTGCAGAGATAGCTGAATCTGACTGTTGTATTGAATTTATTTTGTATACTTTCGAAAGTGTCTTAACTTCTCGAATTACTTATATTATTTAGAACTTGAACTTAGAACTATATCGGTAGATTTAAAGATGGAGGATGCGATAAGAATATGTTCATTAAATCTGAAGTACTTAAAATAGAGGTGGAGTCGTGGAATCATGTCACTTTTATAATAGGTATTATTTCAAAGAGCAACGGAGATAAAGTAGAAAAAGTCTTTATAAACAGTAAGTTTATGGTCACCCTAATGTATCCGGATGTTAATATACAGTTATTGTCAATATACCTATTTAATAATTTTTCTTTGTAAATGTATTCTATTAACAATCGAAGAAATTATGTGCAGTTATTAAAAACTTGTACTGTAGCCTAATAGATATACGATTTTTTTTCGACCAGCAAATTTTGAGTACTTTCAGATGATGGACTAAAGTCAACGCAGTCTTTGAATAAAAAAATCAAAGAGTTCACGTCGTTAAAAATTGTTGGATTCACTTTCCAATACCGTCTACATGAGATCAGGATGACTGGTCTGATAATTTTAATGTATGCCATATTTTCTACTCAACAGAAGTGATTATTGACTGACATTTAAATCTGTTTTCCGTAATAAAAAGGCTTCGTATTCACGTTTATACAAACGGAACTTACACGAAAGACTATCCTATGGATATATAAACGATAATATCAAATTTAGTTTTAAATTAATGTTCATAAGGTCGATTTTCCTTCATGCGACATTCCTATCGTATCATCCATATTGAATTTTAGAACTTATTTTTATAGTATATAAGAGTAGTATTCATTGTAAAGTAGTCGGTATAGTTATGGTGATGTTTAAAAATGTGTTCTATTTATTGGAAATTTTATTGTTTAAAAAAATATATAAAAATGAATAACTTGTTGGGTGTAATTATCATACAATACGAGATCCTATAATGTTATCACGACCTCTTTGACAAATGTTTCTCTGTAAAATACCAAAAATATGTACGTACTTATATGAAAAAAAAAAAAAAATTGTTAACATTTTGGTGTACTTTCGTTTATTATGCAATTTCTTGTAATCTCATGGAGCCTTTACCTAAAATCGATTGAAGAAATTCGACTTTTTATAGCAACCTGACGTGATATCATCTACAAAATAAGTAGCACACAATGTCAAAAATAACTTGTAAATTTTACTAGTGGATATTTAATTCTAATTGCGTTAGAAGTGAAGTTAAAAATTAATTGATTTTAAATAAATATGTTGAAGAGGTCTGGGTAAATCAGGAGGAGCTTAGTTATACAAATTGAGCTTAACATATCATGAGGTATATGTGGCTTAAGATATATTTAATTAATTGGTGTAGAAATGTGTTTTAATGTGTAAGAAATTTATTAGGTTAGGTTTTATGATTTAATTTATAATAAAGTCTGGCTCCTTTGTTCTTAGTAACAATAAAAACGCATAAATAGAGAAAAAAGTGTCCTGCTAACCCATCGGTTAGAGAGAGAAAGAACTTGGTACCCTATCTGAACTTTTAACTCGATCGTTAGTCACTAAGACTCAAAGGGAGCATATCTAAACGATTCGTCGGTCGTTGATTTCAGTCAGCGCGCCAGTAGATAGGTATAGACTACCGCGATCTTTTTTCTCTTTCTATACGATAGATATTTCTACATACAGACATCCGTGTCTTTCGTGCTATATTTATATTAAAGTTCTGAAAATATTGCCATTTTAAAAATATACCCTCGGTGAAAGTAATGAAAGTTGTTTAAGTTAAAAAAAAAACTTTTTTATAGTTGGCAACACATTTTGTAGGTTATATTTTCAATATGAAAAATGACAACTCTTCGCGATCTCATTCGATTATTAAATTAACCTAACAATTCAAATTGTTACTTACTATATTGGGAGGACTGTATTTTTGTTATTTTCTTATATCAGGCTAAAAGTCTTGTAACTAGTATATTTACGGCATATCGAATGTAGCACTACCGTGTGAGTATTTAACAATTGTGATCAAGTAAAAGTGGTACATTTAATGTGCTTGTCATAGTATGTTCACTATTGGATTCTAAAGGGTATTAATTATGTTAATGTTGTATGGAAGTTTTAAATTATATTGGAATATATCGGCGACTAATAAGTTTTTAATGTACATAAATGTTTTGAAATGTATTACTATTTGTATGCAATTCCTGATTGTTTTTATTCATATCCCTTAAATATATTTCAAAATTAAAATTATTATAACGCTATGAATGGTAAAGTTTTTTGTTTTTACGTCATTCCGTACAACAATTTAATTAAAAAATGAAAATTATACAACCCTTTTTGTGGTGGACTGGTAGAGAATGCCTTTGTCATTAAGAAGAAATACATATTGTCTTATTTGGTTCACTCATTTCAAGTTGTGCGATTCGCGTACAAACAATGGGCCCAATAATTTTCATTATATTTATTTATTTCTATAAAAAATAATCGGATAAGAAATTTATCCCATGAAACAGACATTAAAATATATAATTAATAATTTCTCAATACACGTCATACTATTTAAACAACCAAATTTAAGATAAAATTAAAAATCACAAAAAATATAACAAAAGCATTTTTGTAACACTGTATTCTAAAACATCTTTTGGTAAAAGTGAAACTCTTTTTGTCTCTATGGTATTTTTTTTATTTTAAAAAAGATAAGTCTTAAAACCTGTCACATCTTTACTAATTCATAGTTGTCATGGCACGTCAGAATTGCACTGAAACATTTTAAAAAAACGTAAATTACACTGTTCGGTGGTTGCACAGCTGTCGCGTGTGATTTGTTGATTTTGTTCAAAATTTTGCCGCCATGGTAAGTACTATTAACATATACCATTGTTTCTAATCTTCTCGTCTGTTGTGTAGCGTAAACTAGAGGGCGCAATTGCGTACCACTTAGATTATTTATTATATAATCTAAGGAATACCGTTTATTGTTATTTTCAGTACCTAGGGCAGAAGACGCCCATTTTGGCCATTAGGAACTTTAAGGTGTTCTAACTCCCACATATTATAGACAAATATATTCTTTTGCCGTACACGGCCTTTAAAATATTTAATTATGGCAAAGCCTTTCCAGTTGCCAGATGTTTTTTTCTGAATCATGAGACCCCTTCTAGTGCGAGGCCTGGACAAGGGCCCTCTCCGCCCATGTTGGTCGTATATTGTTAATTAAGTAGTCTACCGAAATTAACCTAGAAATAATTTTTGCCAAAACTGCTGATTGCGTGATATTCTTGAAAGTCTCCGTGGTAAATCCGTGGAAAATGATATACACATTGTAATCTTTTTCATCTTATTAAATTGAAGAATATATATATATGTACTAGGGACAAAGTAGATTTTTAAGCATTTTTAATTAAGAATTTAGGTATAAAATTTACCAGTCTCGTCTATAATTTAATTTACCACAAGCTGGCACTTATTATTGGGATCTCAGTAGACTCCTCCATCTAATTATCGTTAGAACTTAAATCTTTCTGCAGGATAATGAAATTGAAGACTTGGTAGGCGACGTGAAGTATACAGACTCCCAAAAAAGTGTAGCCACATCGAACATGTACTCAATGGACTTCACCGACAGCAGTTCAGACAAAAATAACTCCTCCGGCAAAGAGACATACGTCATAGAATGGGACGAGAGCGACGACAGCGAAAAGTACTTCAATCTACATGAAAATCAAAGCGTTATTAACTTAAATAATAAAGCTACTACACCCATAACAGTGAATTATAATGTCAATATTGAACGTGAAACTATTAATAAGTCAACTTCAGCGAGCTTTCACAAATGCGCTATTGCGCAGGAAATTTTTACACAGACGAGCAAAACTATAATAGAGCTAGCTGAAAAAGAAGGCTTGAAAAAAACTATAGAAAGTAGAACACTCCAGACGCAGACGTCCCTTCTATCGATAGCAGAAAATAAGAAAATCGAATACCGAATACAAGTATCTGGTGCGCAAACAACATTTGTGCGATATGATGATTTATACGCTGAAGGCAATGATCCATTTCATGTAGCTTGCAACGGAGTACATAATTATAATGAAATGCCTTTAGATGACGAATCCTCCAAGCGATTACATGACCGGAAAAGTGAATGCAGTTTCGATGACAATGTTGCTATCAATATTGCAAATGAATCCAACGGGGACGGAGAAAATAAAGAAGAAACATCATATGAAAATAACAGTTTGTTTGACCAAACTTCAAAATCAGATACGGACATAGAAGAGGATTCGTTAATGTGCAATGAATATAATGATAATAGGAACTATAAAGCTGACAGCACCAGCGACACGAGTGAAGTACCAAAATCTGTGGATGATGATATTGAAAATCTATATAAAAAGCTGTCGGAAAAAAATAACTTTTACCTTAACGCTGAAAGATCCTGTGAACCCATCACTTCACGTTTCAATACTTTAACTACATTAACTGAAGAACCCTTGAAAAACGAAAATGTATTGGATATTACGCCTCTTGGTGATGGTATAGTTGACACGAAAGAAGATGATAAATATGTTCTTTTTGTAATTGATTCTGGTATCAAAGTGAAAGTTCTGCCTGATAATGAGAATACGAAAGTAAAAGAAGACAAAGATATTTTCAAATTACCACCTCTTAAATCAAATCAGTCTTGTCCAACTAGTCCACACTTTAATTTTAAGTATTCGGTGAACCAACAAGCTGGGAACAAGAACTCCTTTTTAGAAGGAGAACAGAAGAATTGTCCCTTGGACGACAGGTGGGAAATCGCGAATAAGGATCTGGCCGCAGGGGAAAGTCCTCTCATAAGCGGCAGAAGTGGTAATTATTTCCTATACTAATATTATAAACACGAAAGATTTGATTGTTTGTTTGCATTGGCTCCAAAACTACTAACGATTTTAATAATTATTTCTCCTATATCAAAGTTATATCATACGCAAATTACATTGGCTATAATTTACGCGGGCGAAGTCGCAAAAAAACAGTTTGTATATTAACAAAGAACTAGTGTTAGGTACTCATCATCATCAGTCTTTTATGTCCCACTGCAGAGGCAAGGGCTTTCCTTATGGATGCTTAAAAACGGCTATAACCCTCCACGCCGGCTCAATGCAAATAAGAGGAAAGTAACGACTGCAAATAAACCGAGAGCAAAAAAACAGTTTAACGTGCTTTTCGAAGCACGGAGTAGCTCGGATTATGTTTTAGTTACCCACCCCTTTACCAACCCTTGCGAAAGATGCTTAGCAACATCGCTCATGGGCTGCGGTGCTTGTATACTAAGACTTTCTAAGTCTCGTCTAACTATTCATATTATTATAGGCGTTTTACGCCATAAATTAATACTCAACAAACTGCTGTCTATCTCTCATAGCTAGCAGCAAAGTTAAGCAAATGAGTATGTAAAACCGATACAAGCTAGCATTTTAGGAACACATCATTATTAACTAAATCAAACGCTTTTTTAAAGTCTAAATAAGCGGCATCGGTGAGCCCCCACTGTCTACAACTATTATGATTTTTGACAAATACGAGAGCAAATTTCTATATATACTTCTGGCTGGACGAAAACCGTGCTGATCTCGGGCAAATGTCCACTTTCCTGTGGGAAATTGATTTTGTATACTATTGATTCAAACATTTTCGCCGGAGCTGAGAGCACAGCCATAGGCCTATAACTGTCAACTGTCGCTTGCGATGATCCTTTAGGAACCGATACTACCTTAGTTATTTTCCATCGCTCGGCAAATGTATTAAGTTTCAAATAAAGATTGCAGATATAGTTTAATGGGGCTGCCAACACAGATGTACAATGTTTGAAAATGTAAGAAGGAATTCCATAAGGAGGCGCTGATTTTTTTGGTTCGCTTTGGTTGAGAGTCTGCACCACGTCTTTCAAATGTACTTCCTCAACTTGAACTCTAGCTGCTCCGTTCTCAGCCTGGCCTCCACTATCGCTTTGCTTACGTTTAATTCAGTAACTATAATCAGAGTAAAAATATCTAGCAAACACCACCGCGCAAAATTTCACCGTCTTTCGAAACTTTCCGCGGATGGAAAGTTTCGAAAGACGGTGAAATTTTGGAGGAGGATGTTTTGGAGTTAATATAATTGCAAAATGATTTTGAATCATTATGGAGATTAATTTTTTAATTTTGTTAATTAAATATGACAATCATTTATATTTTATTTTTATGAATATTAATTGACTATTAATTTAACGATATAATGTTTTAAAGATAATTCGTGTTTTTGCGTTGTTATTTATTTTATTGTTTGATTATGCTTTCACTATCGCTTTGGGCTACACCTGTAATGATCCTTATAAATCACGAAAATAAATAATATACATTCACGCTAAATCACTTCAATTTAGCATTACGTTGTATGAAAAATTTGAGAAGGTATCTAATGAATTAATTTATAGTAAGAAATAAATAAAAGGCGAGGCAAAATCTGTGTTTCAAATGCTAGAAATCTTAAATATTTTAATACTATTTACAGATCAATTAGCCAAAAGACTGTTCGAACCAATACAGCTGCCACCCATACACGCCGATGGTAACATTAAGAATATCGTAGGAAAAGTTATAACCAATGAATTCAACAAAATCTCAAATGTTACCGTCAAGAATGATTTGCACAATAAACATCTGGAATCTATCAATATAAAGGATAAAATTGGGGAGCTGAAAATGAACAACAATTTGAAATATTGGCCCCAATTTAGATATAGCAACTCGTAAGTATTCACATATTTTGTATCTGAGAATATAAGAATAACTGGGATTCGACCTCTCTAGCCATCAGGATAAAAGATCTTTTCATGATATTATGACATTAGTCTATTTTATTTTACTACTTTGACTGTCTTTTGGCAGATAGCTACTTGGTGGATAACTATGTTGATAACACTGCTGTGAAATCTATATTCATTTTTTATCATTTGTTGGTAGTTATTAGAGTACATGTCAAAGTAGAAAATAAAACGAAATACGGCCATAGCAATGCTAAGATGTTCCTATCCTATGACTAAAGAGTTGGCAGTCGCACCCTGCACGTGTCACATAACGAACTTAAGAAACGTTTTGTCTACATCGAAAGAGCACTTCTCAGGTGCAATATCTTACTTTTGACCCGAAGAAGACGTAGACAAAATGGTTTTAGAATTCCCGTGCTATGCGTGCAGGCTATTGTTTTAGAAAACATTAGAAGGGGACGTAAGTCAAAGGATGTCACTGTTTTAGCTTACGCGAAGCTAAAAGGAGGATTATGATTTAAGCCGGTATGTATGTACATATGGAAGATTGTTCATCTATTGATTCCCTTATAACTTCGTAACTACTCATCGTAACTTGACGAATGGGGAATCATTAAAAGTTGTCCGCGTGGTAAACGCTATGTGACGGTACATTCAATTGGCAACAGGGCCTTTTAGAAAGCAAAAAGTGAGCAACAAGTAGAGAATAAAGTAAATAAAAAGAATTAAAATTTGGTTCAAAAACAAAAACCCTGCTACAGCTGTTGTGGCATACGGCTAAGCTGTCTTTTTGGTCATCATTATAAAATAAATTTCATATTTTAAACTTTTTAGAGCGTGATTAGCTGTAGTCTGGTTTTAGTTTTTGAACTTATTTTATTTTTATACGATGCCATTATTTTACTGCAATGCAATTACGTAGTCGAAGGTAATTTTATTTTATTTTGGATAAAAACAGCTATACTTTCTTTTTTACTGTTAATTTTATAAACAATTTACTGCTAATATCACAACCAGCAACATTATTCGCAGTTTACTAATATATAATATGCAGGACAAAAAGTTCATGAGGGACAAAAAGAATTCACTTATGTACTCGGGAATAGACAATATAAAATTCGTCATATATAAGTATAATTAAACGATGCGTCATACCCTTAGCCTTATATTTTTTCTCAAATAACTACCAGGACGACAGAAAGCAGAACAAGTAGGAGCCCTTCTCCTGACACTCCATCGTTGGAGGACAGCCGTCTGGGTGACGTGGCCGAGCGCGGCTGCGAGGCCCTCTGCTCGGAACTGCTCAAGCGTCTCAAATCCACCTCTTGGTGACGACCATAATTTGAATATACTAGTATAGTGAGGTTATAATCAAGTGATTTTGACTTCATTGATCTGGTGAATTGAGCTCGAATATATTTCGATAATATGCAGATTGTTAAATGATTACGTATGTAAAATTCAGTTTACGAAATGATTCTGTAGGAACCGTTATGGTTGAGGGTGTGATTCCTACTGGATAATGGAAACAACTGGAAAGGAGACTAAAGGATATTTGTCTCCCCCGAGCTAGGTGTTGTTAGCTCGGGGACCGCGGTTCAACCGATGTAGGTTGGACGTTCTATTTATGTCAATTGCTAATGAAACTTATTGTGGGCGATGTAGGTTTCATGCTAAATGCCTTGTAGTATTTTAATTAATAATGTTTGTATTGGTCCAGCGCCATCACGTTACTGGGTGTTAGATGTCGCTACGTATCATCAGTCGCCACAATTCTAAGTATAAATATATACAATATTAAGTTCTCATTTCAGGTTTGAAGTGTCGGATACGTTGCTTGAGCTACCAAAAGTCATGGACAAATTTTGGGGAGTCATACATGAAACCCGCATAGCTGATCTAATAAGACAAGTACAATAAAATTCCAATTATCGATATATATCTCATCTTCGTCAGTCTATTATTCAATATAGATGTAATCGAATAGGAAGTATGTGCTATACACGCGGTCCCAGTGCGTATGCCGATGTAGCCGAGACCAACGGCTTAACATACCTACCGAAACGCGGGGCAGCTCCTACGACCTGCCTTTGCAAGATTTGCTCCACTTGCGCATTGTAGACCGATTACGCTTACTACTGTGCAGTGCACTTATATACCTAATACATGTAAGAATTTCAATAGTATCTCGCTAGCCGTCTCATAAAGTTTAGATACAATAGTAATTTTTTTCCTTGATAATCATATAAAGAAAATCCACGCCTTATTTTATAAATACATCTAGGAAAATACCTACATGTATTTATCCGCAACTTCGTCCGCTTAAATTATAGCGTTTATCATGTAGCATCTTGTAGGTGAATTAATTTTTGGAATCGGTCCCATGGTTATGAAATGCAAACAGCCTATACAATACAAACAAACAATTAATCCAATCTTTCCTCTTTTTATTATCAGTTCAAGACACTACAGATTTTGTATACAATCTAGATTATTTGTGGATTTGCCAATTATAAGGAACTAATGCGCGTTTTCACTAGACTTAGGTGTCGTCGAAATATTTAGGAATAGCCTAAGGTCAAAATATATTTCACCTATGACTATGAACCGACCTAACGACATCGTCAAAAGATTACTTTGTGAAACTGAAACTTTTGACTTGTGCTCCGTATGTGCCAAGAGTCATATACTTTTCAGGTTAGCTGCCACGTCGACTCGCCGCGCACCCAGGTGGCGAGATACGCCTGCAATACTCTTGCTTCGATATTGAAAAATACAAACTACACTAAAAAACCGGTAATTCTTTGTTTTTTTTTTCTTAAAAGTATGATGTAGTAGGTATTTTTTTTTTCAGCATAAATTACCTGTGAAAAATATTATCCGCTTAGGGTTGCGATCACATAATTCTCTAGCCATAGGATACGACATCTTAGCGATGTTAAGGCTATATTTCGTTAAATTTTACTTGCTTTTTTACATCCTCAATGCAGGCATTCAGGCATTCCATATGGATGGTTAAGGAGGACGGGCCATAACTCTCCACTCTAATCCAATGCGGATTGGCGGGTAGTAACGGCTGCAAATGCAGCCGGGACCAACGGCTTAAAGTGTCTTGCGAAGCACGGAATAATGAGAGATAATAATATTTTGGTCACCCATCCCGTGATCGACCCTTGCGAAAGTTGCTTAACAACAACAATCGCGGGCCGCAGTGCTTAACCACTACGCCACCGAGCTACTTGAGTACAAGTGATATTGTTTAGTATTTATTTATTGCAAGTTCATAAATGTGACAGGACTTCTACGAGGCAGTTACAATCTTGTTGGTGAAGACGGGCAGTTTCAGTAGGCCCGTGCGGCGCGCGGCAAATGTAGCACTTGACGCCATCGTCTCCGGAGTGGAACTACCGCACGCTGTCACTGCACTGTGTATTCACGGCACAAGGTGTATTAATGTATACTATCTTTCAGAAATATTACGAGAGAGCAGATTTTAAGTGTGTTTTTGTAAATATTATAAGTAGAATAGGCTAGTTGACAACGTTTTTTATTTTATATATAAATAGTCCATTAATATCTTTGAAATAATGTAAAAGTAACAGCATGTCTGCGATTAATAGTTTCGAAGATAAAGTGCTATGTTTTTGGAACTGCTGCTAGTCCGTCGAAAACGCTACATATAAATTCAAGCCACTAAGTGACCTCATACGGTGCTACGGCAGCGAAAAATGTTTGGGCGTCTGGGCAATCTTTGTTATTTGTGCGTTTGTGTTTATAGCTGTTATAATGAAAGTTGTTACGTTTTATGTAACCAATTTAATGCCATAATTATGTATATTATAGTGTGCAGGGAAGTACTAGTCACTGCCTGAGGTATGTAAGCGGCAGGATGGGGGAGAAGATTTTTTTTTAATTCTTTAATTAAAATGGTTCATATTTTCTGAAAATATAACAGAAACCTGTATTTTTATTTGTAGGACACATCCCTATTGATCACAGTTGAAATCACTATTTGGTAAATTGTTTTACTATTCTAGAAGGAATAGGCTATATGCGCTACTAAAATAGGTGTTTTATGGAGTTTTCGGGTAAAAGAATTTTCATGATATGTATTTCCGAAGATTAGCTCCGACAAAACAAACTTAAAACTACCTCTTTATAATATTAGTATTGATTGAATCCGAAATAAGCCATGATAAGTCGCTTTATATTTATTTGTTTTTTCAAATCCCAAATAATCTCTTATATAGCGAGTTAAAAAACAATGGAGCCCCACGATGGGCGCCAATCAAGAATTGTCTAGACCAGTGATTCTCAACCACTGTGCCGCGGCACTTTTGTGTGCCGCCAAATTAAAAAAGTGTGCCGCCTAATTTTGCAAATATATAATAATGTTAATATTATTAAATTATATCATTTAAAAAGAAAAATATTTTTAACATGAATATATATTTAAATCCACAAAAAAATAAATTATTTTATTATTTGCTTTGCAACGCATTTTTTCTTAGTGCCAAATTATGATGAAGCGGCGTGCATAGCAATAGGAATATGTCTCAAGTCGGCGCACACTTGCCACTTCTGCGTACAAAACGTGTTGTTTTAGTGATAGTTGGGATTCACAAGGTGTTGCATAGTAGTTACTGCACTTTTTCTTTCGTTAAAATTGGCAAATGTATGTGATTCGGTTTAATATTAATTTATTTGCATGTAGTGTCAATTTATAAATTTTGTAAACTAAAAAAGCTTTAAACATATTATAACAATTTTCCACATCTTATTTGTGTGAATTCGGATTATCAGCATTAGCCAACATTAAAACTTAAAAAAGGTCAAGATTGTTAAATGTAGAAGACGATGTGAGAGTAGCATTGTCATTTTAACGACCAAATATAAATGAAATTATCAAAAACATCAAGCTCAAATTTCGCATTAAAAATATTTTTATTATTAGCTTGTAATTAATCCCTGAATAAACGTTTAGTTATTATTTTAGTATATATTTGTTTATTTCGTATATTAAAATTTTTGTCATAAACTATTTATGCAGTGTGTTGTAGTAAGTAAATAATTTTTATCTTTTTCTTTGTGTGCCGCCAAATTTCGAAATCGTTAAATATGTGCCGCAACAAAAAAAAAGGTTGAGAATCACTAGTCTAGACTCATTACAATTAACGTAAATAAGTTTTTATAGTTTATAGGTAGATAAATTGCTCTTTATCTGTATTTTCATAAGAATATTGTGTGTTTGTTTAATTATTTATTTATTTATTATTGTGTGTTTGTTATCCAAGAACAATTCACGTAATTTTCTTTTAAAATATAGGGATTAAAATTCAAGATGTAGACTTTGAATTGAAGTATTTTTGTGAACAGTCACAAGAACCCGCTAGTACGTTGCGCGGCGGCGCGCCTTCTAGTGGTGAGCTGCGCGCTGGCTGCGGGCGGGCGGGAGTTGCTGCGGACGCGCCCCCCCAGCGCTGTGTGCGCTAGACGGCACGCGCTGCGGTCGCTGGCAGCGCTCTTGGAGGACAAGAACGTAGAAACTAGGTAAATACATCCACAAACCAGCTTTCCCATTTTTTGTTTAGTTAACGTTATAATAAGTAGCTCGGTGTTAGTGGATTAAGCGCCACAGCCCGCGATTGTTTTCGTTAGCAACTTCCGCAAGGGTCGGCAACGGGATGGGTGACCGAAAAAAAACATCTCGAGCTACTCCTTGCTTCGGAAAGCACGTTATGCTGTTGGTTCCGGCTGCGTTGGCAGGACGTTAGTACTCTCCAAGCCGCGATGAGCCAGTGTGGAAGGATGATGGCACATCCTCCTTAAACATCTATTAAGAAGGCCTAAGCTCCTGCAGTGGGGACTAATTACTACTTACATTTTGCCACTGTACTATAAGTATACCTGAAGTCCTATATAATTAATGCAATGTCTTCCTCACATATCAATAGTGACAAATGTAATATTAAATTTCAAGTACACAATACAATAGCAAAATGTAAGTTGTTGAGATTCTATTGAGATGCAATTATTACATAAATATTAACAGAATTGGCCTGTACTTCTTTTTGTGGTACAGGCAACATCATAATCATTGCTGTATTGGCTAAACATTGAATTTACTTATCCTATTAAACAATGTGTTACTCTGTTACCATGTGATTATCACAAGTAATTTTTGCTTTAAGTCTTGCATTCTGGCAAACTGACTTCGTATCTTTATAATACAATTTTGAGAACAAAGCAAATCTGTATTTAATACAGGCCAAAAGAAAAAATCACAATACGCCGTTTTGAGTAGAAACTCTGGACCGAAAACTAAATTTAATAAAATTTCTCAACCAAAAAAAATTAATTCTAATATACCATTGCATATAAACAATTATCTAATTATGAGATATTGAAAGGATCACTGTCACTTCGTGACCTTGCATCGAGTTCTATACAACTCTGATATCCAGTATTTATAGTAAACAATGTTATGATAATATACAACAGTACTGATGAATCACCCTTATTTACTATAATAAATTAACTTTTAGTTGCCTAAATGTAGGTACGTTAAAAAGAAAAACATTAACATATATAATGTTGTGTACCAAATGATAAATTATGGCATTATTCATAATGTCCGGGTTTTATGAATATTCTCAAGCAATTTCTGCTACAATAATTAAAAATAAAACATTATAAGCACATATATAATGTATTTAGTGGAGAACAAACAGGCCAGAACGGCATTTGATTTTGCGGAAAAGATTCGTTAGGGGTCATCCGTAAATTACGTCAAACTATTTTCATGATTTTTTTTACCCCTCCCCTCGTCCTAGTCACAGCTGGTCACATTTGTAAGACCATCTGCACATATTTTGCAAGGTTTTTGTAAAGTTATAATTTAAAGTTCGTGTTTTAACACTTAGATTATAATAGATTTTGAAATGTGACGTCACGAAATTTAAGACCCTCCCACCCCCTTGTCACACAATGTCACACTTCGTCGACCCCCTCCCTGCCCCCTTAACGTGTGACGTAATTTATGGATGGCCCCTTATTAGAAAATAATATAATGTGAACAATATCTTCGGCGATAGGATTTCTGTCATCGAAAATAAATCATACTTTTTCATACTGAAAAAAATATCCTCTCTGCTTACCGCGCAGGAGATACGCCGTGAAGATAGATATATATTAGATATATATCTAAAGGATATATATCCGTGACGTAAAATCTGAGAGAAAACTCTAACAGTGTCATTTATTACTAAACAGGGTTTAGGGTTGTAGTAAATTTACGCTGAGACTGCACTAAGTATTAGTAAAAATTCATATTACTACACAGAGACTTAGCAAAGATTAACCCAGTACGAGACTCTGCGATGATAGGTAATATAATATGTACTCCTAGAAGATAGTACAGTACGTTTGCTTATTCTCTGTTTAATATACATTTGGACTAATACTAAAATTGCAATTTTAGCGTAAATTAACCATGATGCAAACCTTGTTTATTAATAGCACTGTAAATGTATAATAGATTTGAAAGAAAAACATCCACACTGGATAACCTCGCCGGATTATATCTAAATTAATTATTCACCGAAAAAAACACACGTTTTTATTTTACAATACAACTCCCGATATACTTTTATAGTATTTTTCTATAATTCTTTTACCATAAAGCTAAGAAAACCAAAATGTTTTATATCTGTCAGTAGGCAGCGGAGTCTAAGTAAATATCGTTTTACCCTTTAGATACTGAACCCTAAAAACTGAAAAAGAATCCTATACACGTTTATAATATTTTTTTATTCACATAGAAAATACGCGGAACGCTTGTATTCTATGCTGCGGCCCCTGACTAATTTCGAAGCATTCTACCTGACTGACTTGGAAGTAGAAGTGGCCACCAGACAAATGAAGAAATACGACCAGCTGCTGCTCTGCGGACCACCGAAGGAGCACAGATGATCACTCTGTCACTTCAGATAACAATCAGAATTTACCATCTGAAACTTTATCGGGGCGTCGATTTGCTAACATAAGTCCATTTTTTACGGTGATGAGTTTCAAATATGGACTCTGGTGCTTTAATGTACAAAAAATATAATAGATGGCGCTATCACTAAAAATTACAAGCAATAAAACGTTAACTGGCAGATATTTAAAAAAGAAAATACGTTTGGTTAAAGTAAAGAAATCAATTAAACTTTTTAAATGTGGTATGTATTTTGAAAAAAATACTAAATGCACATAATTTGTCTCACTATCACGAAACGCCGTCTATTATAATATATTGCTAGACTTAATTTATTGAAGTACGTACACAATAATTCAAATTCTACCCTCGTATTTTGGAATCTTTTAGTGTTCTTCTGACTGACAACTAGGTATCAAGATCATGTTAATTATTAGAGAAAAACAAAAAGTTGTGTCTTATAAACAACAATCCCAATGCATTATCTTTTGTTTTGTAAATAACTAGTAGTATAATATTATTTCACATGTTTTTATAGAGAATTTTGTAGACAGTTTAACTTTAGGTGACTTGTGTTATTCGTGTCGTGTAAAACTTGTCTTGCAACGACCGTGTGTATCATTCTAATTTGTGTCGTTATATCTGTAACCTTACTGTACTGCAACTTTACTGTGAATATATTAGTGGTTTCGATGTATTTCGGTGTTTTATTTTACTATTGTACACCCTAGGATACTCCTTGATTACTACTTGCTAGATGGTCTACAATTGATGGCTTTTTTGATTAGAGTCAAAGTAATATTAAGACGACTTACCTACTACCCTATAATATACCCTTACCCTTTTGTCAACAGAAAACATATTCTTTTGTATTGAACAGCACCCGTAGCCTGACGAACTCGAGAACGTTTTGTCTTCAAATGTTACTTTTCTCGGGTGCGCCCGAGATACTATATTTCACTGTCGACCCGAGAAACTGACAAATGAGTGTAGACAAAGCGTTTCTCGAGTTTGTCATGCTTCTAGCTCAGTAGGGGCAATTGCTCCAGGCGCCAGTGTTAGGGAGCGCCAAAGACATAACAAAAAATAATTATTATAGACTATGATGGAACGGAAAACGTGTATGGTTGGCTGCTCGACTTATAGACTATTCAATACAAATAATATGTTTTTGCATGGCGGGCTAACAACTTTAATAACAAAATATTCTCAATAATGAATGACATGCTATTACATCATTTATTTTAATCTACTTGACTTGACATTATGAATGGAGAAACAAATTATTATGTTGATGTCAGGTATCTACGCATACAAAATCAAAAATATTTATATTCTAAATATGTGTAAAAAGGTAGGTTATCTATACGACCCGTATTATATGATATTGTTAATAATGCACGATATTTTTAAAGTATAAAGCGTCAATTACATCTGACCCGCGTCGCGCGTCGCCACGAGTCGTCTCTCTCAGGTAGGTAAGTTTTCATACATTTCGTCGACACGTGGGGCGGGGCTAGTAAAAGAACTCCCATGTCTATTTAGAAGTGTTTCGGATATTAACATAACCACTCGCATTCTTATTATCACAGGGCGTTGGTATAAAAATATATGTATATTGAAAATACAAATATTTCTAAGTCTTTACCTGTGGATTACAGAAAAACGTACAAGAAGTGTATACTTTTTAAAATTCAATACCTTCGGCCTATTTGAATGGAGCCCTCGGCACTCTAAATATCAAATAAGAAAACTAATTTATTGAAGAAACACACACACATGCAATTTTTCTATTGACAATCATGGAGTGTATCCGATGTGTGTCCAAAAGTAGCCAACTCGACATGAGCTGCGGTTAAGCGGCTTTTCAGTTTGCAAATTACTTACGTACTACCTACCTACGGGTACCTACATCATACGGGGTTTAAAATACGCGTGCGAAGTGGCGGGAAAATAGTTAGTAACTTGATATAAGGATTATTCACCGAACCGATGTCCATTGTTGAACTTTAAATATAATACGTAATGATTACGTACTACGATTGAATACTTACGATTACTTACTGCAGATACGTATGCGGATGCACATCTATCAACATCTTTGCTGCGGCACACAACCCGACATATTTCTTGTTTTTCATTTTATTTCTGTTACTTTCTGGTTTATTTGTTTTGTTTCTTTTAGAATATTTAATCTTAAACAGTTATAATTTGAATGTGTCGTTGGAAATGCAAATAAAGTTTTTATTATTATTATTATTTTATTATTATCTTACATCTGCAGCTGCGAATGAAGCCCTGATAGAGATGTCAAATATCTTCTTATAAACGTATTAAAGTGAGTATTATATTTTACCCACCAATATTCCTCGCCCACCTAATAGTAAGTTTGTCCTTCAGTCAACTAATAATGCCTTACAAAATTTTTCGGTGTTATTCTATTAAAACTTTAACATTGCACATCTGTTATCTTTCGCTCACTAACTTTATCATAATTCGTTAATTTAATAATAGTCTGTGGTAAAGCTCATATTTTGTGTTTATAAATATTAAAATACATATAAAAAACATCGTATTGTTCGTGGTAAATTCATATTCAAGTATTGGTAATTGAAAATTATTTGGTTGAATGAATGTATATAAATCGTGTAATGGCCTCCTATTTTGTGACGCTGGGAAATGCATTACTGGTCGCCAGCTCGGCTAACCATGGTTAGGTGGGTTCCCCCTGCGGACCCGCCCCAGAGTAGGGCTAGTCAAAGAGCAGGAGTATACCCACTAAAATTCAGCGATGTCCGTGTAATGGTCTCCTACGTGAATTTGGCAGAATTGTGGTTGAAGCAAAGTAGCCAATAAAGTTAAGTAGAAGAACAAGACTTTTTCCAAGCCAACATTTTTAGATCACCCTTTTGGCTAACAAGAAGAACAAGCGAAAGAAATTCATTAGCCACAACACAAATTATTAGTACTCTCCACTTATGAGTACTGTACAGCGTGATGCGGGTAACACGTTGTTCGCCCTGCTTTGACGTCAATATTGGTGTCAGGCAGAGTTTAATGACGTCATATGGCTAGACCCGGCGGGCTCCTTGCCGGATCCCGGATCCTTAACCCCCCACCACCACTGGAGGATACTCGCAGTGGGTTTTTTCTACCCAGCCATCTTTAATCCTGTCCTTTTCAAGACAGGCGCGGGGTCGGAGAGCCCTGGCTTAAGGTTGCATTTCCCCTTCGTTATTAAAAGAGTTTCATGTCATCGGCAAAACTATTTATCGCGTATCTCGACCGTTGCCTTCAAGACAATAAGATGTATGAATGGGGTATTGGGGTAAATGTGTAATCTAGTTGTTGACTGCTTGCTTTAAGCAAAGACGCCTTAGTACTTGCAGAAAATCGATCTGCAAACTCTAGTCACAATGATGAAAGATTGTATGAAAAAAAGCTTACAATTAAATACGAAGAACACAAAGATAATGGTATTAGAAAATAGTGATCTCAATAAATATTTTCTGTATATAAGTAAGCTTAAAAAATCACTTTTATGTCATCGATCACCCATTTAGATCGTGTTCTGGCTAATGAGAATACATAGTAGTTACAAGAAAGTTATCAGCCATGAACAGAGGCAATTATATTAATATAAACTTATGTCATTAACCAATTAATTTCGATATTAACAAAATTATTTATGTAAGGAACATAAAAGGAATTAAAAATAATAATTAATGAGGTTCGTAGTACAATAAAATAAAGGCTATCAATCTAGTCCACGCATTGCAGTTCTTATAATAACCGCGATTTTTAAAATAGCTTTCAGTCACACTCAATATGCTAATATGACCGTGCAATTAATTAATACTCAATACTCAAGAAGTTTATTGTTTCCATAAGTAATTAAGAATAATGTTACAGTTGTTACATAGTTTAGTAAGGAGCTATTGAGGAGGATGATGGAAATCAGATATTTTAAACGGGATAGTGGAAGATTTATTTTATGTTTTATGTTACAAATTTCAGTACCAAGAGTTTACTCTTGGTATCAAACAAAAACCAAAATGACATTCTTTATAAACTTTAAATAAAATATAATCAAAGGTACAATGAGGTGCTGTCGTGCACAGGAGCACTAGTTATTATTGTAATTTATAAATATGCAATTTATAATGAATCGAAATCTGCAGGGGCACCAGTTACTATGGGCGTACCTCAGGGATCGATATTAGGACCATTGCTTTTTCTAATTTATATTAATGATCTTCTTCACTTTACGAAGAATTTGTGCGAGACAGTATTATTTGCAAATGACACCTCTTTACTGTTTAAAGTTGAGAGGGGTAATGATTGTTTTGACGATGTAAATAATGCTCTCGACAACGTTCTCCAGTGGTTTGATAATAATAATTTAAAGCTCAATTTAAATAAAACGAAATGCAAAAAGTTTGCATTACCTAATGTGAGGCATGTCAGTACACTTATAAATGTAAATAGTGAAAAAGTTGAGTTAGTAGAATCGACAAAGTTCCTTGGTATTACTAGATTCCCGACTGCAATGGGATCCTCATATTGATAGCTTGTCAAGTAGACTGAGTTCTGCAGCTTTTGCTGTTAAGAAAATTAGACTCTTGACAAATGTTGAAACGACAAGATTGGTATATTTTAGTTATTTTCATAGTGTAATGATGTATGGTATATTGTTATGGGGTTCTGCGGCTAGCATTCAGGATATTTTTATTCTACAAAAGAGAGCTGTCCGTGCTATATATAATTTATGGTCTAGGGAATCTCTCAGAAAAATATTTAAAGAAATTAATATTCTGACTGTTGCCTCTCAATACATCTATAGGAATATTATGTACACAAGAAAACATTACGATTCCTTCACAAAAAAAGTAGTGTTCATAATCTTAACACAAGAAATAAAAATAAACTTGCCGTTCCAAGCTTCAGACTTCAAAAAACCAGAGAATCATTTCTGGGTAAATGTATTGCTATGTTCAATAAAGTTCCACAAAATGTAATTGATCTACCCATAAATAAATTTCTAATTCATGTAAAGAATATACTTATGAGTAAAGGCTATTATAAAGTTGATGATTATTTTAAGGATCGCAATGCATGGAATTAATAGCCTTCGCTTTGTTCTATAAAGACTAATTATATGTTCAACCTATGTCCTACAGACTTTGAAAGTTGTATTTATTATTGTGATAATACATATCATTTCGGTAATGACATGATTTATGTATGATGATGATAAAAAGCTGGTAAGTTTCTTTCGCTTGTTCTTCTTGTCAGCTAAAAGACGTCCTGAACAAGTGGTAGGGGAAAAAAATTTTTTGGACAATTCAAAAGTGCTTGTAGGTAATAGCCTACTTGAATAAAGATATTTTCATTTCATCAGATTAAAAACAGAACAAAAATTATTCTCGGAAGCGTTCTTATTCTCGGAATCAAAAATATATTAACAATGTTTACTTATTGAATAGTACAGACAGGATAACCATAGCATAATTCGAAGCGGCTTCGCTTTTGGTAAATTTGCTTATATTTTTAATCAAACCTTAAATTGCAGAAAAACATTTCATTAAAATGCGCGGTGGCACTTTTTCGAGCTCTTACATAGATTGAGGTATTAGTCTTAACAAATGAAATAGAATGTTATCTCTTAATATTCGTATAGTTCGTAGTTACCTTG